GAATAAGTCAGCTGTGTTTATGCTGTAAACTACACTACTGCTAGTTCTGCTACTACTGATGATGATGACAATGATGACGATAATCGTAATACTTTATATGCTTTGGTAATACAGCCAATCAAAACGTACAGGAGAACATGCGAAGGAGACGCATTCCTCCACGGGAGGATGCAGTCTGTCATGTTTCTGCTGGAAGGGACAAACTGGGACTTGATATCCACTACATAAAGGCCTTCAAAGGTAAGTTGGTCTTTAGTTTGGATTAGATTTGGAGTTTGTCACTTTGTCTTTTGTCACTCACTTGGTATGCCTCTGCAATTCAGGTCGGGGCATTTTCACGACTGTTCCATTCCAAAAAGGAGACTTTCTTTTGGAATACAGAGGTAAACTCATAACAAAAGAAGAATGTGAGCGGAGACACAGAGTTTATCATGACAGCCTGAAGGTGTTCATGTTTGAATTCAAGTTTGATGGAAAACTCTGGTGGTGCGTATTATATCAGTGTAGTTTGATTAAGATTAAATTACACATTGCTTTTGATTTATGAAAAAAAAGCTTCCTAACTAGTTAAGCTAATACTTTTTTGCCTAACCCCACAGTGTGGATGCATCTCAAGAAGATGGGTCATTAGGCAGACTTGTCAACGACAACCACATCAGTCCAAGTGCTAAGATGAAAATATTAAATATCAATGGAAAGCCCCATCTATGCTTATTTGCAAGCAGATACATAAGTCCAGGTGAAGAAATAGACTATAATTATGGTGACTCGGATTGGCTCTGGAGATGCAAGGTATTTCTACAATTGTACTTTTTGGAACTGATAAATTGCATACCCTAAGCCATTTTTACATTTGTACCTACTCAAATTGGCTTAACGTGACTTAGGGCATCTAGTTTTTCACTGAAATTGAGTATCACCTACTGTGCCTGGGGTCACTATAGCAATGCAGCCGAGCATCCAGTGATATAAATGCCACAGCAAGCATGGACGTCAAGGTGACAAAATGCCTGCTGCTCAGTCTATACTTTAGTGTTCAATTCAGGGATCACGCTGTTAATTTTGGTCGCTATTTCAAACATTTCAGAGTTTCAAAAATGATGGCTTGGATTTTCACGAAGGAGGCACACTCATAACTTATCGAGTGACACCATTGACCAGCCACCTGGTGGCATTCAGTCTATGTCAAATTTTCTGATCACTTTGGATCACTTGGAACCTTGGTGCAGTAGTTACTGAAAAACTACATGGTACTATAACCTACTGGAAAAACAGGGGTAGGTACTAATGGAAAACAGGCAATTGTGATGGCTGCCACATCAAAGCCCTCTAAAAGCACTAAAAAAATATCAGCAGGTATGCAGAAATAAAAAAATGGCTTTCGGTTTCTTAATTTTAACAGTGATTGATGTTTAATGTGATTCTACACAGCAAAATCTCCAGTGTTAAATTAACACTGGAGAGTGTCTATAAGGGTCCACACCTCTGAGTGTTAAATACAACACTGTTGAGTGTTAAATTAACACTTTTGACAGTGTTATATGTTTAAAAGTAACCTAGTCAGTTTTGAAGATTAACAATGGCTAACACTGAGCAGTGCTGATTTTCTAACACTGGAAAATAACTCAAAATGTTAGAAATATTCCAGTGTTAGAAAATCAGCACTGCTCAGTGTTAGTCTTTGTTAATCTTCAAAACTGACTAGGTTACTTTTAAACATATAACACTGTCAAAAGTGTTAATTCAACACTCAACAGTGTTGTGTGGACCCATATAGACACTCTCTAGTGTTAATTTAACACTGGAGATTTTGCTGTGTAGCCTCTTTAGTTAGATTCATTTTAAATTTTGTCCCTTGAAGATAAATGGGCCCTAGTGACAGTTCGTTGCTGCTACAGGTGATTGTTTTACTCCTTTAGCAATGGCTTAAAAAATAAAGAAATCACACTGACTATTTGTCTCTTAATCATAGGGCCTTAAATTCTCTATACATGACAGTGAATATTTTAAAGACAATAGCTTGAAACTTATCTTTCTCATACAGTTTATTTAATGTTTCAAAAGCCTCTTCAAAAATGCACTGTATATTCATTTTCTATCTGTTACACACGAAGACGGAGACCAGCCAGATTCAGAAGACTGTGAGCTGCCTAAAGCCGCAACCAAACAGAATTAAAGACAGAAGCACAGGCCTGCCCAGTACAGTTGCAAGAAGAGCACTTGGTCTAATCTTTGTGCCATCTTTTCTTTGTTGCAGGATCTTGATGAAGAAATGCCTCAGCAAGGCTCAGAAGCCATGCATTCTTCTTCAGTGCAAGATTTTGAAGAGGTAACATTGACCTAGGACAGATTTTAATGAATGTTTCTCATGCACGATGTGTACCTTACGCTATTTGCCGATAGTGAAATGGTCTATTCATCCTCTTGAGTGATGCATTTTTAGTAACTGTCAGATTACTGTTCTTTTGTCTTCATTCTCTATCTGTTACACACGAAGACTGAGACCAGCCAGATTCAGAAGACTGTGAGCTGCCTAAAGCCGCAACCAAACAGCTTTCCAAACAATGATCTGGACCTGAAACATCCAGAGCCTGAAAGGGTAAATATAATCCAGTGTACCACTTAATGAACTAATAATTTAATCTATCATCATTCTTTATGGATGCTGTGTGTGTGTGTGTTTGGCAGTCACCTGGGTGTGATGTGATTTACATGGACCGTGGCTTGTAGGTCCTTTTCATTGTTTCAAAGTGCAAGTCTGGATAACATCTGAGTGTGTGTGTGTGTGTGTTAACCACCCAAATGTGACTTAGGAGGACCACACTGTTATTGCGGGACTCCGTCAAAGTTTGCTTCATGGTGACATCACTCTGGTTTTAGGAGGGGTCTTCTCGTATTTCTTGACAGTTTGACCTACAGCATGCAGAACTGACTGCATGTGCTTTGTTTCTATGTGGTTTGAAACTCAGGCTTGAACATTAAGATAGATAGTACTATACAACTTAACTTGTTTTAGGCACTTTTTACTGCTGGTAGTGCATGGGCTCTCTCGCTGTGTACTCTGGCTTCTTCCCACAGTCCAAAGATGTAGCTTATGGGGTTAGGTTAACTGGTGATTCAAAACTGCCCTTTGGTGTGAATGCAAATGCTTGTCCTTCCATGTTAGACTGGTGATCTGTCCAGGTTGTACTGCCCTATGGTAGCTGGTGTAGGCCCCAAAACTGCTACCCCACAATCCTGATAAGGATAAGTGGAAGAGGATGGATGATTGCAAAGGAATCAGTTGTTAATTATTGTAGCCAGTATTTTTTTCAGAAGAAAACATTTCTTGAGTGGAAAGCCCCCCCCCCCCCCCCCCCCCCCCACACACACACACACACACATGCAAATTAAAGACAGAAGCACAGGCCTGCCCAGTACAGTTGCAAGAAGAGCACTTGGTCTAATCTTTGTGCCATCTTTTCTTTGTTGCAGGATCTTGATGAAGAAATGCCTCAGCAAGGCTCAGAAGCCATGCATTCTTCTTCAGTGCAAGATTTTGAAGAGGTAACATTGACCTAGGACAGATTTTAATGAATGTTTCTCATGCACGATGTGTACCTTACGCTATTTGCCGATAGTGAAATGGTCTATTCATCCTCTTGAGTGATGCATTTTTAGTAACTGTCAGATTGCTGTTCTTTTGTCTTCATTCTCTATCTGTTACACACGAAGACTGAGACCAGCCAGATTCAGAAGACTGTGAGCTGCCTAAAGCCGCAACCAAACAGCTTTCCAAACAATGATCTGGACCTGAAACATCCAGAGCCTGAAAGGGTAAATATAATCCAGTGTACCACTTAATGAACTAATAATTTAATCTATCATCATTCTTTATGGATGCTGTGTGTGTGTGTTTGGCAGTCACCTGGGTGTGATGTGATTTACATGGACGAAGTTTATTAGTTGATATCTGCAACTGAATTGAAAACACCTCACCTTTCCAACTGTCCAAAACAAATAAATGTTGCAATATTTTGCTAACAGTGTCACAATCATCGTCTGGTGTGCACAACAATATCATCTTTGGACAAGTGCATTCAGTGTGTGGGACTGGTTTCCTCCCTCAAGTGGCTTGGCTATAAGTGCAAAGGTGAGACATTTAGTGAATAGGTACATTATATAGTAAAAAGCATTAATGGAGTTCAACAAGTTAAGACCAGCTGAAATGAACACTGCTCCCTTTTTAATTAATGGGTGGTCACGTCTAATTAAAGAAATGTAGTATTACCTCATTGGTGCAGGACCTTGTAAAAATGGTATACTTGGGATTGTCCTCAATTCCCCATTCCATAACATAAACTGCTCAAAATAATAAAGGGAACACTTAAACAATGCGATGTTACTCCAAGTCAGTCACACTTCTGTTATATCAAACTGTTCACTTAGGAAGTAACACTGACAACCAGTTTCACATGCTGTTTTGCAAATAGAGTAGACAACAAGTGGAAATTATAGTCAATTCACCATAATAAAGGACTGGTTCTGCAGGTGGTGACCACAGACCACTTCTCAGCACTTATTCTTTCTGGCTGATGTTATGGTCACTTTTGAATGCTGGCGGTGATTTCATTTTAGTGGTAGCATGAGACAGTCTACAACCCACACAAGTGGCTCAGGTAGTGCAGCTCATCTAGCGTAGCACATCAATGTGAGCTGTGGCAAGAAGGTTTGCTGTGTCTGTTAGTGTAGTGTCCAGAGCATGGAGGTGCTACCTGGATGTGGAGTAGGCCATAGGAGGGCAACAACCCAGCAGCAGGCCTTAAATAGTAAAACTATGTACTATAATTTCCAGTATTTGCTCTGTATTTTGTCATATCTCATTGTTAATGTGAGGTTTTTGGGGGGGTTGTTTGTGTTTGGTTTTTTTTGTTTTTTTCCCCCACAATTTCTCAGATGAAATTGCATTAAGTGATGCTGAAACAAAGGACAGTGAGAGTGAATCAGATGATGATGACACAGCACTCACAATGTCGGCGTGTGGCACCAGTGAGCCTGTACATGCAGTAGCTGATTCCACAAACACAGCGCAGCCCCAAGACACTGTAGATTGTGGTAAGTTACCACTAGCTTGGTTTCTGTGGATAAAATGTTTGTTACAAATATTAAAACTTAATCAAATTGTGTAATCAGCAGATGAAGGACTACTCACAATGCCTGCAGCAAGTGAGACTGCTGCTCCCTCTGAAGGTAAGGGGTGCAGTTGGTTCTCGAAGCTTATTATTGTTTCATCACTTTGCAACATATGGCAAACTGCAGAGTGGTGGCAAAAAGTCACTTGGATGAGTGACAAAATGTTTCTCCCACTGAAAACGCTACGTCCAGATTAACAGAATCAACGTTTTGGGATTTACTTACCTGGATGATTGAGCATGCATCAAGAGACTTTTATTCAACTTTTTATTCAGTCTTTTATTCACAGCGGAACACTAAATGTTGTCTCATTTTAGAAATTTGATAAATTTTCAAAGAGAATTTTAGCTCGTTTTGATATTGATGGTAGCAACACATTTCAGAAGTTAGTACAGGGTAGCATCCATTCTTTTAACAAGCAAATGTTTTTTGTTTTTTTGTTTGGTTTTTTGTTTGTTTTAACTACTACTACTTTATATATCTTCCAGAGAAAAATGCTGCTCAATCCCACAATTCCCAAAGAGCTCCCAAAACATGTGGTCCAAGGCTGAGGTTGCTGCAGTGATGAGGCATTTGAAAGACCACATAAACGAAGGGAAACTAGCCACCAAAAATGAATGCAGTCATTGCAAATTGGTAGAAGATCCGGTGTTGGCAGGAAGAACAGTTCAAAACATAAGAGATTTTGTAAGAAACAGAGGATTAACTGCAAAAAGGCAGAAAAAAATGAACTAAAATAACTGTTTAGAGAGCTGTGGTTTTACATCTTGGTCAGATTGCCAATTGTTGTTAACACTGATGTTCTGTTTAAAGAAAAAAAAGTTCTTGTTAAATACAGAAGTAGTTTGTATTTTTTACATTTAATTTATTTAGGGTTTTTTTTGACGGGTTATATTTAAAATAAAAAAATTATAAATGCATATTTTCTCCCCTTAATATTTACCTTCAAACTATTAAAATTCATTTTAAATGTTTTTAATTTTTCTGTTTTCTATATTTTTATATTTCTGTGGGAAGCGTGGGCATTTTTGTCCATAGATTTCTTTTTTTATTTATGGTTAAAATTAATGTTCAGATCCAAGAACACTAATAAAATGATGTTCCAGTAATCCTGTGTCCTGTCAGATGTGTATTCATGGTAATGATGAGCTATTTACATATTACATCATTGTCCCTTTAAAGACCCAATATTGTTTTTTTTGGACCTCATAAAACACATTGTTGTCAAGTGGACAATGTCTCCAGAAAACACAATAGAGTCTGGTTGGTGTGTATCAGTGTATCTAGACTTCTATAGGGAGTGTATGAGGTCTGAAGTGACCCAAATTTTTTTCAGATTTTTTCGAACACTTTAACCTCGCTCCCTTGGCTCTAAGTCCTTTCAAAAGGGTAGTCCACTTAAACCACCACCGGGCGGATTGACGTAGTATAGTCCCGCCATACCACATAGACCCGTATGTGTGTGTGTGTGTGTGTGTGTGTGTGTGTGTGTGTGTGTGTGTGTGTGTGTGTGTGTGTGTGTGTGTGTGTGTGTCTCTGACTGTCTTGTGTCTCCTCTGCAGGGAGAGTTCAGGTCCAGGATCAAACAGGGGACATCAGGAACAGAAGCAGCTCCATTGATCCGACTCCTCTGATGGCTGATCAATCAGTTTGATCTGTGTGTTCTTTGATTATTGATCAGTGATGTCAGAGTGGAGTCAGTGTGATGTTGTTGTTGTGTGTTTGAGACTTTTAGTGTCCATGAAGGTCTCTGCTGCCGTAGATCCTCTGAACTGTGACAGAGGTCTCACTCTGGAGGAAACTCTCAGCACTTTCCAGCAGCTCCTCCATCATGGAGGACGTTCCCTCACTGTAACAGGTGGAGGAGAGAGGAGAGGAAGCACAGGTGGATCCTCTGAGGAAGAGGAGCATCCTACAAACCACATGATCACATGACCAGAGGACAAGCATGTGCAGAAACACATTAAAGTCAGCCTGTAAACACGTTTGTGTAAATTCTAGTCGTGTTTTTCTGTCACATTCAAATAAAAGCAGAGAAAGCAGAACAAATGCTGAAGCTGTGTGGAATAAAGGAGTTACAGTACGTACACACACACACACACACACACACATACACACACACACATACACACAGACACACACATCTGTCCAGCAGCTGTCTGAGCTGCAGTCTGTATTGTGTCTGTAATATCTTCATGTTTCTAACATTACAGTTGTATCTTCAGGTGTAAAATCAGCTGCTCTGCTGTCTTCTCTCCTGATCCTGTGTGATTGATTCGATCCTGCAAACGCCACAAATTTCATTCCAGCTTTGATTTGAAAGCCAGCGAGTAAAAGGATCAGCGATAGTTTTCAGAGCGATGCCAAAGCTTGGGTTCCTCTCCTACAGCAGCTTTTCTTTTCTTTCTTTCTCTCCCTGTGAAATACAGCAGCTGGACCTTTGGCTGCAACACACTGTGAGACAAACTGCACACAAACAGTTTGTGTGTTTGCTGATGTTTGTTGAGCTGATAGAAACGCTGCATTTGAAATTAGCTGACACTTCAAAAACGTTCCTCCCTTTATGCTCGCTGCTCTTCAGCAGGGCTAGCTAGATGCTAAAGTAGCGCTAACACAACTTACCTGCAGTCGTTCAGCTGTCGTCCCAAAAACATATCAAATAAAAAGAAGAAACAAAAAGAAGCTTTTCTGTCAGGGAGGCGGTGTCCTTCTCACCTTCAGACATGAGATTAGAAAGAGAGAGAGTTCAGATCACAGTGCAGATATGAATGAATGAATCCGTGCTCGTCCTCACGGCTCCTGCATGCTTTTAAAAAAGTGTGTGTTCAGCTCTGATCTCCAATCTGTTCTTTTCTCTCTTTGTTTCCTGGGTTCATGATCATCATCACACCGTCTGAGGCTCCTAAATATCCACGTTTGCTTGTTTCACTTTCACACTCTGGGAGTCAAAGATGTTTGAGCTCCAAACTCACTGAGAGCTCCTCGTGCCCACCACGTGACCACAAACATCTTTGTGCTCACGTGCTGCTCGTGTCTGAGACGCTTTAGTTTGAAGGAGACAAACTGCAGACGCAGCATTTCCTGTTCCTGAGTGTAAACCTGAGCATTTGAAATGAGCTCCACAGGGAAGCTGTAGGTGACAGAGATGCTCACAGACTCACTGACGTTACAGTCTGTCAGCATCACGCAGTATCACAGACACACGGGAAGATTTAGTGCAAGTGCTGAGAGACACACAGCAGACATGTTGACTGGAAACATGTCAGACTGAAATAAAGCAGAAGCACATGTTAGCACATGCTAATATGATGTGGATGTGTTTAGTGTGGGAGCAGGACTCACCTGAGACACACCTGTGTGGATGCTGCTGCTTCCTGCTCTGCTCTTTCTGCTGATTCAGCGTCTTCATCACATTTCTAAGTTTGAGGCTTTTCTCAGTTTCCATCAATAAATCATGAAGTCGACCTTGAAGACTTGGGTGGATGTGAGCCAGATGTGAACAGATGTTTAACATGAGCCCGCTCTACACCCCTACAAAGTTTGATCAGAGTTCATTCACAACTATTCGAGCTGTCGTGTTCACACACAGAACGACACGCACACACACGCTACCACAAACATAACCTGTGTTTTCAAGGTGAGCTAAAGCTCCAGGTGTCACATCAAACACTCACAGGGAAAACACCAATCACAGCACGCACACATATACTGAACATGACAGAGAGAGTTATTAGAGACCAGCTTTTATCACATTTATTCTTCCTCAAAGTTCCAACAGAGCCGAACAACCCAGAGGGAAATGTCCGGGTCCTCCCAGCAGCCAGTGAGCTTCTGTAGAGAGGACACGTGAATAAAGCCGCAGTGATCCACAAACACAAACAGCTCTTTGCTGCCTTTGACTCCTTACTTGATGCAACAGCTGATGCTGTCAAACAAAAACAAACTTCATGTTGACCATCAAACTGATCTTTATTGTCTTTCTTGCAGAAAGTTTCATTATTTCATGGGCAGCTGAAAGAAGTAAGAAGTGCAGAATATGACAGGAAATAAGTGGAAGAACAAAATCTTCATTTCCTCCAAGTCTTCTGGGCCTGGATGTGATGGAAACACTCACTGAGTCCACTGCTGTGCTCATCACTGAAGCTCATAATGCAGCAGGTAGTATTGCACATTTGCAGGACTGAAACATGTTTGAAACCTTGGAGGATTTCCTGCTTCTTCTCCAGGTCATTGAAGCAAACTGCTGGGCCTGAGCGGGCAGTTTCCCATCGAGTGTCCAAAAACTCTTTAACGTGGTGGAGATTTCATAGCCACGCTGTAACCACGCTGTAAGAACACGAGGATGATCCACCGTCACCGTTCTCATAGGGGGGTGGTCTGATTGGTGGAGTTTCTCTGTTGTTGTCGAGTCTTTACTTTACAGTAGAAACTCCTGCAGGTGACTGTTGTTGTCATTTGCTGCTGTAGAAATAAAACTGAAGGAGTTTTGCAGGTAGAAGATATTTGATTTACAGCTTCTCACACACGAGACCAGGCCTGCAGCTATCCATTATTTTAGTGTGTAAACAGGCTCCGCCTCCACGTTAAACTGTGACATCATCATCACTGCTGCTGTTATCAGTGTTTGTGTTTAACACTGGAGGCTGTGTGGGCTTAATGTGCTCAGACTTTTATTCACACGCTGCTCATGAACACGTTTCTATTGGAGGTCTGTGAAACATGGAAGCAAAGAATTTTATAATCGAATTATTGGAATCACTCGATGAATCGTTGCAGCTGTACACGAGACACTTTCTTTAAAAACCATCAGACTGCTTTCATACATGTTAACGCTTAAATACAGAAAACTTCAGCCTGATATTCCCGACGTATGAAACTCTGTTCAAATCCAGATGAACTTTTTTACAAAGAGCCTGTTTCTGTTAATATCACATCAAAAGTCTGTGATGGTGTTCGGTCTGGTTTCCCAGCTTTCCTGTTAAACACAACACTTTTCATTTCAGTGAAGTCCAGTGGATGGTGCTGCCTCTGCTGGTCCCTTATACTGCAGTGTTGCTGGAATACTGCTCTGCTCTCACCCACCTCCTCCTCGGCCTCCTGAAGGTCTCCACCTCCACTGCTGCCTACGGCCTCAGCAGCCTGTCCATTCCCCTGAAGTGCTCCTCTTCTTGGCTCCACCTTGTGGATGACCTCCTGAACTGTTTCTGCTCCCCTCTGAGTTTTTATTTCTAAGTTCCTGTCTGTTGGTCGTCTGCTTCCACTCCTGGACTCTGAAGCTTCTTCTGTTTTCTCTGATTTTGATTTTCACTTTGTTCCCCTGGAGATGTTTGTGCTCTTTGGACGTCTGCATGAAACCTAATAAACTGTTGGTGTGTTTGTTTAGACTGTGTCAGGTTTGAATTTGGTTCCACTCACTCCTGGATCATAACACAGTTTTATTTAGAAGAGGTCAGAGTAACATGTTAAACATGTTCATATATTTTACTGTTAAATTCCACTTCTCCTAAAGCTGTTCCCA